CCAGGGACTTTTCCTAAGGGACTTGGGCAGCTGTCCGTAAGAAGCAATTGCTCCTCTGGATTGGTTGGTATTGCCTGTGCAGAAAGTTTATGGGCACACAGGGGACAGGTCCAGGTGGCTGGCAGTAATGGGATTTGAGTTAAGGTTTTACCATTTAGGAGTTTAAGTCAGTCCTTTATTCTTTTCTGCCAGTAGCTTGCTAGTGATTAACTTCCCCAATCTCTCCTGTGTCTGTCCAATGGCCCTTTAGAATTGACTTAAGGACATCTCAGAATTTTTCTGTTATCAAGGGCATCCAGGATAGCTCCAACATGCTTATTTTATAATTAATTCTAGACTTAATATCTTATAAATCATTTCTTTAGTATAGACTTCTAGAAGTGAAAATTCTAAACTAAGTATATTGTAAGGCCAAGCTGATTTCTTTAAAACGTATAAAGGCTTTATACTGCTGCCGAAGATCTAAAATAGCCTCAGTGTGTTCTTTATTACCATTAGGTGTTTTCATTTAAAGAGATTTGTCAACTTGATGAGCAAAAATTACATTACATTTTTTTAACCTGTGGGTCTTTTAATTATTGATTGACTTGAGATTTTTCTAAATAAATATTTATTAGCCAATTAAATTCCCTTGGGATGAGGCTCATGACATATCACCTCAACATTTTACTTTAGGGCCCTGTGCAATAGTCCAGGTGGCTAAAGTCCTCACCTTGCATGCACCAGGATCTCATGTGGGCACTGATTCATATCCCGGCTGCTCCATTTCCAATCCAGCTCCCTGCTTGAGGTCTTAGCTTTGCCACTAGCTCATTAGCTATTTACCCATGTGGGAAACCCAGATTAAGCTCCTGGCTTTAGGCTTTGTATGAGCCCAACTCTAGCCATTGCGGCCATTTGGGGCCATTTGTATACTCTCTTGCTCTCTCTCTCCTCTCTCTAAATCTATTTTTCAAAAAAAAAATGGCTTTAGGTATTACAATATGTTCCCTAAGGAATGCCTCTTTGGTATAAGGATTATTTTAAGATTTTGAGAAACCATAGGCATAGAAGTAGTTCTGAAAGATCACCCTATGAAGGCAAGAAACATTCACATCTATGAAGGCAATTTCTATTGTAAGGATCCTTCTCTGTACTCACAAATCAGTGACCATTAAAGACTGATAATTCCTGGAAAAGGTATCGGCTTAACTGGCAACCAACGTCATCCTTATTTCTTTATGATTAATGAGAACTTTGCACATACCCTTCTTTCTTATCTCTGAAAAGGATAGTATTTAAGCTTAGAATCTAAGATAATACAGAGATATACTCTAAAGATTACTATTTTCTCTGGATTTTCTCCTATGCTTGCTTGAGGTATACATGTTATTAAATTTCTGTTTGCTTTTCTTATATCCATCTGTCTTTTATTACAGGGAGTTCCAGCTAAGAACATACAAAAAAGAGGGAAAAATTCTTTTTCCTCTCCTGTACTTGTTAGGTGCTACTTTTCATGAATTTTATCCAAATTCAATCATTAATATTTTTCTTTTTATCCTGCACAATCTTTTGTGAAACTTATTAAATGTCACATGTCATGTTTGCCAGATTTCCTGACATGATATGCAAAAGTAACTCATAGTCATGAATATTCTGCTTATGATTACAGCATTTTCATAGTGGGAGCCTCCTTCCTACCTACACGGTGGGAGCCTGAGAACACCAAGTCATCCTATCTCCTTCCTCCAGCTGCCCTTGCTGTCACTTCCTTCCTTCCTACTCCAAGCTCCTTCCTTTCTACTCCACCTTGTTTGCTGCTCAGCTCATTAATCTATATTTTATACCAGTCTTCCTCATTAGAACGTGGCTGTTTCCCCACAGTGAGGGTCTTGTTTCTATGGTGATCCAAGAGAAAGACTGCAGAGCTGGTGCAGCTGGAAGTCTTGACTTAGTTGGAAAGCTCATTAAAGCTGGTTGAGGTAAGGGTGGGTGGAGATCCTAAAAGTGCCCAGCAGAGGCCAAAACTTTGCAGCAAAGTCACAAGTCAGAAGGAAAGCACAAAGAACTCCTTTCTTGTCCCTGCAATTATCCAGCAAAGGCAGGATGATGCTCACACCCAAATAGCACCAACTTTATATATTTCAGACATTTTTTATGGACAGTCCCAGGCACAAGGCCTGAGATAACTTTTGAGATAACTTGGAAAAACTTTTGAAACCACGTTGTTGAAAAAAGCAAAATATCCTGCGGCAGCTACAGAATGATAAAGGATTGTTAAGAAGTTTTCTCTTTATAAAAAAAGAGAACTTTTTTATGTGAAAAGTAAGCAGCAGAGAGGGAGAAATTTGTCACATAATTTTTTTAAAAATGACTTTTTTGCTGAGCCTAATAGCTCACAATAGAATAGTGTTAAATTGTAATTGTCCAAAAGATAGCATCATGACTCTCATATGAGTATAAAATGAACAGGTGTCTAAGTTTTGTTGGGCTCATTAATTAATGAGAGAACCAAGAAGTATCTGTGATGCTATGTATTTGTAAGAAATGTTAAACAAAAAAAGATTGCTGGTTATACTCAGACCTAGTTAACATCTAAAAATATATAAATAAATAAACCATGGCCTTTGAAATTGTTCTGTTCAATAGAAATGATTTGCACCCTTGCAGCTGGAGTGTAGATATGGTTTGAGGATAACTTCCAAAGATTCGTGTGCCTAAAGTGTGATCCCGTGTGCTGCTGGAACCTTAAGCAGGTGGAGACTGGGGTGAACCAGTAAGGTCATGTGGCTTCCACCCTCAGAAGAGATAGAGTGTGTTCTTGTGAGAAAAATTGGTTGTAAAACAAGGCCACTCCACATGCTGGTCCCTTCTGCACACAGCCAGTTCACACCATGTTGTGATGCAATCAGGGGCAATGATGCTGTTGCCATGGAACCTCTCACCACCAACTAGACCTCCTTATTTCATAAAGCACCCTTTCATGAATATGTTCCAGCAACATAACACAAAGACACTAACAAACAAAAGCAACAGGTGAATCTCTGCCCGGAGGCAATACAAAGTCAAGGCCAGGAGACAGGGCAAGGAGGAAACTAAGACACTGGGAAACATCTCCCCATGAACATGGCAGTCTAAACAGCTGTGTCTTGCAGAGTCATTTTCGTAAGAGCTGAGGAAGTCAGTTGAAAGACCACAGAGCCTGGTTTCAGGTGAGAAGAAAGGACACATTGAAGAAGGCTGCAGAAAGGAAAGAGTTGTCACTTCACCCTTTCCCAGACCCTGCGTAGCCCGACACGGAGAGGCACTTCCCACTGAGGGAAGGCAGAGGGAATAAAGTCCAGACCTTAGACTTGAACAATAGAAATGCTCTGTGTTTTATCGTTTTTATTTGAAAGTCAGGTTAGGGAGAGGGACAGAAAGAGAGAGATTCCTTCTGTTGATTCATTCCCCACATGGCTGCCAACAGCTGAACCTGGGCAGGCCTGAAACTGAGAGCGTGGAGCTCCTTTCAGAACTCCCACATAGGCACAGAGGCCCAAGTGCATGGGCCATCTTCGGCTGCTTTCCCAGACTCGTTAACAGGGAGCTGAATGGGAAGTGGAGCAGCTGGGACTTGAACTGGCACCCATACAGGATGTCAGAGCTATACACAGAGGCTTAACCTACTATACCATGGTGCTGACCCCAATATTCTGTGTTTTAAATGTAACAGGAGTCACATAAACATAACACTTCCTAAAGCTCAATGAAAAGTTTATTTAAAATAGATCTGTTTCTATTATATAGAAACTTTTTTTTTAAGATTTATTTTATTTTTGAGGGGAAGGTGGATATACAGAGAGGAGAGACAGAGAGGAAGATCTTCCGTCTGATGATTCACTCCCCAGGTGGCCGCAACAGCTGGAGCTGAGCCAACCCGAAGCCAGGAGCCTCTTCCAGGTCTCCCACACGGGTGAAGGGTCCCAAAGCTTTGGTCCGTCCTCGACTGCTTTCCCAGCCCACAAGCAGGGAGCTGGATGGCAAGTGGAGTTGCCGGGGTTAGAACTGGTGCCCATATGGGATCCCGGCACATGTAAGGCAAGGATAGTGGTGCATCAGGTTAATCCTCTGCCTTTAGCACCAGCATCCCGTGTAAGCACTGATTCTAGTCCCAACTGCTCCACTTCCAGTCCAACTCCTGCCCCTACAGCTATGGGGGAGATTTGTAAGAAGCTCCTGGCTTCAGATAGGCTCAGCTCCTGCCGTTGCAGCCATTTGGGTTGTCAACGAGATGATGGAAAATGTGTGTGTGCGTGTGTGTGTTTGGCTGTCTCTGAAAAAGGAAAAAACATTTGCAAATGAGTGGATAAATTTAGAGCATAAAACAAAGTATGGTACCATATATACCTAGGCCACTGGTAGTAGGGAGCCATTACCATTCCTGGGCCTAAAGGGACAAGATCGAGTATTGTGGGAATCTAGCTGTGAGGAAGGTGTGCTTTAACAAGAGTTGCAGCCTTTGGCACGGAAACCAGCCCATCTGTGGCAAACATTCAAGAAGAGAGCCTAAGAAATGCTTTCTCTGGCCTCCCTCTTCTCCAGTCTCCCATCTCCCACATCTGCCACCCATTGATCAAAAATCCCAACCGGAAGCCAGATGGCAGGAAAGATTCCTGCAAGTCAGCCTTCCCAGCACAGAGCAGAATAAACGCTCGATAGCAACTGGTTCTGCAAGGAAGATGCAACCTCCGATTTCAAGGGAAGGGAACGAAAAACAGGAAGGAAAGAAGAGATTAAAAGTCTTAGGGATGAACGACAGTAGTGAGGGAAGAGGCTTCTTGGTCAGTGGGTTGCTCCTATTCCAATTGCCTAATAGAAGACAGCCCCGATCTGAAGTTTCCAGACATGTTTATTTCCAGCACTTGCAGGTCTCCTGACATGGCCCTGGGCCCTCCTCAACGTCACACCTCCATATTCCCCACTAAGCCTCAATTTCCCACCTAGAGCCACTGCCCCACACTCCAAGCCACACACTCTCTTCAGAGCTTAGGGGAGTAGATGGCCACCACAACATTCTCCCCAATGATGTAGGAAGCATCAGAAGAGCACAGGAATGACACAATCCCTGTACATTGTTCTGGCTCCCCAAACCTGAAAGGAAGAAAGTGGAGCCAAGGTCATGGCCATGACACTGCTGAGCTCAGACCTCTAGTTCTTCTGGCCCAACCAAGGGTTCAGCATTCACCCTAATAGAATAACACCTCAACAGGCTTCAACAAGATCATTGCGGGCTCACCACCTGCCCTCCAGGCTCCAGCTCAATGGTGCTGTCTGAAGACATCGAAGGTGGAACAGCTAACAGACAGGAAGCAGATCAGGGATCTGTCCTTGAAATTCCCCTCCATGGATGCACAGAGTCCTGAAGTCCCAAGCTCCACCTACCGCTGCAATCTGTAGAGATCATTAAAGTCAGGGAGCAGGAATGGCAATGTCTTCTCCTGAGGAAAGATTTCAGAGTCAAGGTTAGGCAGAATGATTGTTGGTAGAGTCCAGCGTGGCAACAGTGCCAGGGCTGACCCATGCCTTGGCAGAGGAGGATGATCTTGTCTGGGTCAGAGGGCTGAGACAGAACTCCCTGCCCCTCCCCCAAGAGGCCAGAGGCCTCCATTCTTATACAGGAATGGGAAAAGCAGGGTGTAAAGCAGGAGCTGAGTGAAGGGCCAGGGCCAGGGGTTCCAGTTGGGCGTTCAGCTAGGAGCCTATCTGGGACGAGGACTCATGGGAGCAGGGTGCAAGGGAGTGCGTGGACTTTGGGGTGGGCAGCAGCCATGTTTAATCCTCACCATTTGAACAAAGTTGGTCTTGATTATTCCTGGCGCCAAGTAGTTCACTCCAATGCCTTTTGGGGCTAGCACTATAGCTAAAGATTTACAGAGGCCCAGTAGGGCTGTTTTACTGGTGTTACAGACTCCCAGCTTCTGAAAAACAAAAAGCCAGCAGACAGAGTGCATCAGCATAGGAGGAAGGAGTGTAGCCTGGATACCCAGAGCTCTGGCTTTGGCCATGGGCTAACAAGATATGCCTGGTGCCAAGCCAAACAAACATTCCTTCTCTACCCCTTCCCATTTCCACAGTCATTTCTAAGGTGGGAACTTCGGAGATGGAAGAACCTTTCCAGGCCACAATGTACATCTACACTTGGCATAGTGAAAGCTGCACTGACATCCAGAACTTTAGAATTAAGAGATCCAATGTTCCCTGTCCTTGCCATCACACAAACTGACCATGCAGACCCTGGGCATGGGACTTAACATCACAGGCTTTCAGAGATATGGCAGCAAAATGGAACTGCAATACCCCGTCTGTAATGGTCAGGGTGTGATACTTGAGGGCTACATCCTGATTCCATTCTGTCTTAGCAACCAGTTGTTCCTACCCAGCTCCCCACCTGCAGGGCCTCCCAAGGAACCAAATCCCATTGGCCTTTCCCCTGCCCTCTCCAGAGGGACTCATAATCACTGGGATTGGCACATAAGACACCATGGATGACACCAGGACCACAGAGCTTCCCCTGGGAGGAAAAAGGAAAAAGGGATGAAATGCAAAAGGAATTCCAGTAAGAGACAAGATGAGCCAGGAGATTGTATTTTTAAGTAAAAAGACAGAGTAGACCAGTTCAAGTTCATGGCGAAAAGCTAAAACGTTGGGCAACTATCTGAACACTTGGAGAATCTGGACCTCCAGAGTAATGGACTCTAAGGTCACCATCAACCAACACAACACAGGCAGAGTGGTTTTCCTGCAGCAGGGACCAATGCTGAGTCTCGGAGAATAGAGCGCAAGGAGGGTTCGCGGGCTGGGAAGATAGCCTTGTGAGGTGAGAGCCTCACACATGGGTCCCAGATTGACCTGCCTTCTCCTACTGCCCTAAGGCTGGGTTGGAGGGGTAGGGTGCAAGACATGGAAGAACCAAACTGTGCAGGGTAAAGTGATGAAATGAACCCACAGGGCCTACTCTGACCAGAGTAACAGGTGCCATGGTCCACAGAGGTGGGGCAAGAATTAGGGAACTAGAGCTGGGACCTACACTTTCTACAGCATGCCAGACAGAGGCAAAGGCCCTGCCATGCCCTGGGATGACAGAAATATGAGTCAATGCAAGCTCCGTGGAGGGCCTGCCCCTCCACAGCTGGTTCCTCACAAGTGTCACGTTCCACCAGAAAAAGGGACATCTGGAGACAGACACACTGTCAGCTCTCCCGTAGGCCTCCAATTGGTGCCTCCCCTGCCGGCAGGTAGGGAGAGGAGTAGAAAACCCAAAGTGCATAGACCCCACCAACCCTCTTGCAACCTCACTGTTGGTTCTCCATGTAGGGAAGCAGCCTGCTCAGCAGCAGGGCCAGGGACTTGACATTCACATTTAGGATCTGGAATCAAAAGGAAGGTGGAAGCAGAGATGGGGGAAAGACAGCGTCTGTGCAATTTGTGCAACTCCCCTTTTTGCTGGCCTGACCCGGGATGTTGTAGTCCTTCGTTCTGTATGAAGGATAGCAGCCTCCAGGAGTGGATTCTGGGCCTCAATACTCTGTGGTTCAGTAAATTTTCTCATTGTCAGTCCCTGAATGCTTCACCCCACTCCCCTCAACCCCCAGAACAGAGGCTGGGGAACACGGTTGGGAGAGTCAGGATCCCTTGTCTCTCAGTGACCACTGGCAGAGAGGGCAAGGTAAGGGAAGCTCCACTGGGAGATGGGCCCATGTTGGGAAATATTCAGAATCGAGATTGTCCTTTTCCTGGGGAAGGCCAAGTGTAGTTGAAGGGGAAGGCCAAGTGTAGTTGAAGGGTAAGGAAGGGGAATGGGGAAATGGGCAGAGAAAGTCCCAAGATGAGAGAACCACAGAAAGTGTGGCAAGACCCAGGAGACCAGCACCGTTACAGTGTCTGCACCTGTGCCCATCCCAGAGGCCTGAGCTAGGAGAGAGGACCTTTGCCATGAACTGACCTGGAATTATTTTCTGGCATCTCAGAAGTTTGCAGCAGTGACCAGTACAAGGAGAGTGGTGTAGAGGAAGTTTATGGAGCCTGGTACCACAGGGCACGCTTGGTCCTTGTTGTACTAGCTAATGGGCAGTTAGACCACTAGGAGCCCCACCCCCTGCCATTTAGGATCAGCATCAACTATGAAAAAGCTCAGGTACTGCATGGTGCAGGTACAGGTGCAGGCAAAATGAATGGGCAGGACACCTCATTGTGTGTGCGGCACTCACCTTGTCCCAAATCTGTTCACTGGCTCCCAAAGTGCTCCCCACCAAGGGATTTACACCTGCCGCACACACCAGGATGTCAATGCCCCCAGAGGGCTCCAGGGCCTAGAGCGGGTGAGGATGTGGATAAAGGAGTGAAGGGGGGTGATGACCCAAAGAATCAACCCTGGCTGCGACCGTTCTGGAGCTGCAACTGGAGCCGCACCTGGAGCAGAGTTAGAACCCGGCAGTCAGAGGTGGAGTGAGCTGTTTTTCTCACCTCCCTGGAAATTTCCAGTCCCTCTACCAGCTACACAACGAGCTGGCTTGGTTCCTGGGTGGGTCCCTGCCAGGCCCGATCTTCACTCACTAGGTGGCGCTGCTTTCACCACTTACGTTTCTAGACAGTTCAGTCTCATTGGTCCCTCTGGAATTCTCCCCGCTAGGCTCTGACACATGCGGAGCCCATTCTCTAAAACACGTGCCTGGCTGTCCTGCTCTTTGAGTTTTGCCCCACAGCTCGCACCTTCCAGGGTGGTCCCACGTCACAAGCTGTGACTCCAGACCTACTCATGGGTCCCCAACTCAACGCTGGACAAGCACAGATCACATGGACAGCTTGTTAATAATGCAGGTTCTGGCACTGTGGCAAATCCCCAGGTCATGCCCAACTGGTAGGTATCAGACCCCTTTTGAACCAACATGGCTCTAGTTGAGCCCACACCGAGTTCCCTCCTATATGAGCCAGTTTTCTTGGACTCAGTTCTTTACCCACTTGCTCTATCCTCTGGCCAGGCCTGCGCCCGGGGCTGCACATACTGTGATGTAGACTCCTACTCTCCTGCCAGGCCTGGACCAGCCTATCCCTAACTGTTCTTCCTTCTATCCCTCACCTCCCCGGACTCCTCACCGTGCCCACCAGGCGCTCCCGGTCCTCCGCCTTCCCCACGTGGCACACGGTGCCTATCACGCTGAGCCCCTCCTCACGCAGCGCAGTCACCGCCCGGTCCACGTTCTGCTGTTTCCATCTGCTGGTGACCACGTGGGTCCCATCCTGGGCCAAACGCCAGGCGACGGCCAAACCAGTCCTGCCGGCAGAGAAGGGAGGGAAGGTTTCAGACACCCCATCTTCTCTCGGGGGAGGGGGGGCAGCTGTGAAATATAGTGAGCTCCCTGGTATGGTCTGCATCCTTGCAGTGAGAGAGAAGGGAGTGGGGAGCCCCTGCTGCCTCTTAGGCCTTCCCAGCAGCTTCCCTCCTCCCTTCGTGTCATGTCAGTATGCTTAATAGGAAAGAAAATATTTGGGCCCAGCACAATGGCTTAGTGGCTAGAATCTTTGCCCTAAACTCACCGGGATCCCCTATGGGTGCCAGTTTTAATTCTGGTGGCCACACTTCCCATCCAGTTCCCTGCTTGTGGCCTGGGAAAGCAGTCAAGGATGACCCAAAGCTTTGGGACCCTGCACCAGTGTGGGAGACCTGGAAGAAGTTCCTGGATCCTGGCTTCAGATTGGCACGGCTCTGGCTGTTTCAGTCACTTGGGGAGTGAATCATCACATAGAAGATCTTCCTCTCCATCTCCCCTCCCCTCTGTATATCTGCCTTTCCAATCAAACTAAAAGAGAGAGAGAGAGAGAGAGAAAGAAAGAAAGAAAGAAAGAAAGAAAGAAAGAAAGAAAGAAAGAAAGAAAGAAAGAAAGAAAGAAAGAAAGAAAGAAAAGGAAAGGAAAGAAGTATTATTCACTGTGGTTTTACATAAAGGAATTTTTTCAGAGTCATGTCCCAACAGAACAGCTGCAAATTTTCAGGGGATCCAGCTGGACTTGTATCCTTTCTAAGCACCCAGCATTTCTGCCCTTTGCTGTAGACAGAGACACCCCTGGCATAAACCACACTTCTTCTAGGCCTCGCAGCTGACCTCTGCTATGTAGTTTTCCTAACTTATACGCTAAAGAACAGGTAACTTTCTTATTCAATTCCTTATTGGAAAGAATTGGGAACATTCTTTTTGTTTTGTTTTGTTTTCAATGACATATTTATTTTTATTGTAAATGCAGATTTACAGAGAGAAGGAGAGACAGAGAAAGATCTCCCATCCACTGGTTCATTCCCGAAGTGGCTGCAGAGCTGAACTAAACTAAAGCCAGGAGCCAGGCGCTGTTCAAAGCTCAGATACCAGACAGTATAGAGAGAGATGGTGATGTGAAGTTCATTGTAAACATAATAGCTGGGGATGTTGGAAGGGATGTGTGATGGGCATGAGCCCTGGATCCACTCAGGGATGCAGACTCTAACTCTGCTAATGAGCCAGGCAGGGACTCCTAACCCTGATCACTCACCCTTTTGAAGATTCAGTGATGACAGTCACTTTGCCAGCCAGGCTATGGCTATTATCCACTGTCTGGCTGTACATTCTTGCCGAGAGAGGGACTGAGGCACAATGAAACCCCCTAACAGCCCAAGACACTGCCCTCAGCATGGCAGCCACTGTCTGGATCCCAAGCTGAGGGAGAACCTGGAAAGACAGTCACATTATAGAACATAGTAAGACTTGTGTCTCCATGTGTGCCCACTGGGGTCTCTGCCACCAGCCCCAAACTGACCAGGAGAGTACAAAGTGTTTGGTGTCCATCCATGACCTATTCCCCACAGTGACCAGGCGTGGGGTTGGACCTTTGGCAGATACCTGAGTGAGGCTTGCCTGACACACCTCTGCACCCCAAAATAATGAATGGCACATGTGTATTCTTCTTAGTGTCACCTTTGCATTTCCCTCCATATATCCACCACCTGAGCATTGAACTTGTTCCTTTTCAGCATCTCCAGTTTATGACCCCTCCCCAGCCTGCTGCAACCTTCTTTTCCCACAGCTGCCACCTGAAGTAGCAGTTCTCCTTGGAGATACCAAATGTTCCGGAGTTTCTGACAGGCAAGTGGCTTCCCCTCCTCACCAGCAACTCTCATCCAATTGTAAAGTCCAGCTATGCCCCCTCTGGTTCCAAAACTTTTAAAGACCTTCCCCCCTCACTCTTTGCTGATCCCCCAAGCTACTCAGTTCAGGATCACCTGAATTCTTGTGTCTGTATCAACAATACCTTAAATCTCAAACAACTTTCTCTGAGTCTCAGCTTTAGCATCTATCCTTTCCTATCTCCTCCCCTCACCACTCAATGCCGAGACCTAGGGACAATACTTGTCACTTATCTTAGGCAGAATACCCTCAGAGGCACACAAGGAGACAACAGGGCTTTTTGGAGGTGGCTCTGGGAGCAACTAGAGGAGAGTGGAAGGAGTGAGGTGGAAAAGAAATTAGCCCACAAAAGGTGTAGGGTCACACAGGTTAGCTCTAACAGCAGCTGAAGTTCAAGCTCACTGACAAGTCTGGGCAACTGTTTGGAATTTCAGAGTTATCCCAAGCCTCCAGGTGTCCCAGGACTACAGGCTTCAGTACTGAAAGATATGTGTTCTAAAAAATTCCTCAGTCTCTAATCAGCTCCCATTCTTGACCTCCAGAGAGGAGAGGGGGGCAGGGTGGACACTGAGCTAGGAAAGTATACAAATTTTGACATTGACTTCAAACATTTTATGTACAAAAATAGATTTATGAACAATGGCTTTTATCTACTTGTAATAGGTGAAAATTAATTAAGCTTTAATGATGAATATGATATTTTATAGGCAGCCATTAAAATTGTGCTCATAAATGGTTAAAATGCTACCTGAAATATCATGGCACAAACCTTTATGTCCAGAATGACTGAAATTATATGAGCACAACATCTGCATAGGAAGAAAACGCAAAGCAAAGAGGCTGGGAGGGGAGCAAAGTGACAAATCAAAATATGCCTTTTAGCCATCCCCTTTTCACAAATTATCACATGAGAAAAAAATATTTTTAAGCAAGAAAGGAAATCCAAAACAATATGGTGAAAGATTTCCACAGAAACGATGAGAAATTCTTCAAAGGTATATAGAGTTGACCTTTAAGGGGAAAAAAATCACAACCCAAAGTACTTTCACAGGGCAGGTCAATAGCTGCAGGTGTTCAGGGGCTGTGAACATAGCAGTGCCTGGGAGGAGAGGACTCTTGCAGGAAAAAAAATCATAGTAGAAATTACTAGAACCATGCATCTGTATTTAAGAAGCGAGGGTGTAAATCAAAATATTTAAAAAGAAAAAATAAAGCGAGGGTGACCAGGTGAAGAGGACCACCAAGAGCACAGACCCAGCCTGGTTATAGCAGTTCCCACATCTCCACAGGAGTGTTGGAGGATCCAGGTACTTGCACTTTCTCTTGGTGGCTCAATCTCCCCAGTGTTTCCTTCCCAACCAAGCCCACTCCTTCATTTGTTCTATGACATGGAATCCATCTGCAGCCTGACATATAAAAGGTGGAGACTTTCGGAAACATATCTCACCAAGTATTATCCAGATATTCTCTTTTCCCCTTGATCAAGTTTTCCCAGAGACTTGTTGGTTTTCTCAGTCCTTTTTTTTTTTTTACAAGAAATTGCTTTTATATTTGTTGATCTTGTCTATTGGTCTTGTCACTTCCTATGGAGATGAGACAATGGTAGTGGTGGTTTGATTTAATGTTGTGGTTCTTGTTGGTTTAATCGGTTGGTTGGTTTGCAGTAGTTTCCCTTCTACTCAATCGCACTGGCCTTTCAGATCCCTTCACCCATGACAACCAATGTTACCAGACTTTTTAAACGTATCCTTCCAGAAAGATTTTGTACATTGACGTATAATATATTCATGCAGAGTTTTTCACAAAAAGCATCTTTCACGAATGTTTTAAAGCCCTTTCATATGCCTAGATTTCAAAAAACCGGAGGGAAAAATAAGCCTATCTATCAATTCCATTTTCCATGAACTATTGGAATATTTTTGTGTGTATATATCTGTGTATACAACTATGTATATATATGTGTACATTTATAAATTATATTTGTGTAGTTTCTACCTCTTTTATGAAAGAACAGTTTATCATGTAAACTGTCTCATGTATTACTGGTTTTTCCCTTAATTATATATCTTGCAGACTATTATGAATCACTATATGCTGAGAGCCCTCATCCTTTCTGGTAATTAAAAATAATATTTATATTTTATGGAGGTTTACTCTAATGTGATCAATCTTTGGCTTTTCATACCTGGTAGTGCAATTAATATCATTCTTTCAAATTGTGTCTATTCTGGCTACTGTACTAAAATACAAACTAGGTATTTTATAAACAACAAGCATGTTCTAGAATCTGGTAAGTCCCAGGTCAAGGCACTGGCAGAGTCAGTGTCTGGTAAGGGCTGCATTCTGGCTCCCTGATGGCACCTCCTAGCTATGTTCCCCACAGTGGAGGGGATGGGGACTGACCTGGGGCCCCTTTTGTAAAGGGCACTAATCCCATTTGTGATCACTCTACCCACATGACCTGATGTCTCCTCTGCTTCTGTCACCTAGGGATAAGATTTCGACATATAAAGAGTCAGACCACAACAAGTTGCGGAGAAGTGGAATTAGTAGATCTCAACACTCGGGCTGTGTTATCAGACATGCTAAATTCTCTGTACCTCACAGGTACAGCATCTACAGAGGTACTACACCTGTCCCATCACACCTAAACACAGGGTAGCCCTGTATTTAACCAGTTCATTGGATTTTAGAAGGGTACGTAAGCAAGATTTCTTTATTTGTGAGATTGGGCTTTATTCGTATGGTTAGAAACCAATTTTGGGTGTTTCCTTTTCTGTGACTATTCATATTCCTTTCCCATTTTTCTAAGAATTGTTTTTTTATTATTAATTTGTAGGAACTCTCCTATGCAGAAAATTATTTCTAGCCAATACTATGTAAATGCTTGCCTCTACTTTGTCATTTGTATTTTAACTTTACTTACATTGTTTGTAAGCCCTCTTGATGAACTATTCCTCTATAATTATGTACTGTCCCTTTATTCTCATTAATTCTTTTGTGTCTTAAATTTCATCTGGTCTGATATTAATGTTGCTACCCCAGCTTCCTTCTGGCTAATAATTGCTCAATATATCTTTTCTCACCCTTTTATTTACAACCTTTACCATCACTTTCCTCAGAGTCTTGTAATGAGCATCTAACAGGTTTTGTATGTCTTAATTCAGTTGAGAGTTTTTTAATGGAAGTTTTTATCTACTTCTCATTTATTGTAATTATTGATAAATCTGGACTCACTTCTACCACATTTTATCATGTTTTCTGTTTACTGTTTACCATCCATATTACTTTTCTAGGGCTGCTGGAACAAATTGCCACTAATGGGGTGTCTTAGAATAGCACAAGTCTGTTCTGTCACAGTTCCGGAAGCTGAGGTCTGAAAGGCTAGTGTTGGCAGGACCACATGTCCCCAGAGGCTCCTGGCAGGTTCCATTCCTTGCTTCCTCTCGCTCCTGGGGGCCATAGGCCTTGCTAAGCTTGCAGTGCCATCCTCTGATCTCTCCCTAGATCTTTATGTAGCCCTCCCTGTGTCCTACAAGGACGCCTGTCACTGACTTAAACACTTGCTCAGATAACCCAGAAAACTCTTATCTGTGAATTTTTCCCAAAATGTCTTACTGAGCTTCAGGGATGCAGAGGGCATCATTCCAGTGTACACCATCCTCATTCTATATTCTTTGCTTCTTTTTTTTTCTCCCTTACTGACTAGTGTCATATCAATGAAGTGTTCCCTAGTGTATTTTTAAGAGTTGATACGTGTTTATTTTCATTGTATTGGAAGGCATAAAGAGCTCTTTCATCCTCTAGCTTGTTCCCCAAATGCTCATACCTGCCAGGTCTGGGCTAGCTGAAGCCAGGAATCTGGAATTCCTCTGGGTCTCCCCGCATGAGAAGCGGGGACCAAGACACTTGACTCATCACCTACTACCTGCCAGGGTGTGCATTAGCAGGAAGCTGGAATCAGAAGCAGAGAGAGCAAGACTCAAACCATACATTCAAATGCGAGATTCAAGTGTCACATGCCCAGATTTGTATATATATTTTTTACTTACGGTTATTTGGAAGCTATGAATATTTATGTTAATTTAGTAAGTACTCAGCATGTACAGCCATACAAGTCAATAATATAAAGTCCAAATATTTTCAACATTGCTATTCTTTCATTTTAAAAAGCACAAAAGCTAGCACGCTTATATTATCCACAGAATAACCCCCAGTCCAATCTTCCTTCATTTGGAATGGTGATCCCCAAATAGTAAATCTTGAACATCCCTACTTTTTATCTGTATGTACTTATTTTTTTTAAGATTTATTTATTTTTACTTGAAAGTCAGAATTACAGAGAGAAAGAGGGAGAGTCATCCAAAGAGAGAATCTTCTATCTGTTGGCTTGCTTTCCAAATGGCCAAAATGGTCAGAGCTGAGCCAATTGCCCCTCTGGGCCTCCCACATCTGTGCAGACGCCCAAGTCCCTGTGCCATCCTCAGCTGCTTTCCCAGGCCATTAACAGGAAGCTGGGTTGGAAGGGAAGCAGACAATGGAGTGGAGCAGACATGAACTAGTGCCCATATTGGATGCCAATGTCATGGATGGAGGATTAGCTTGCTACACCATGTCATCAATTCCTGTATACTCTTATTTACAAATTACAGACATGTGTCACTTGAGAACATAGCATACAAATTGTAAAACACAGCCAAAATCTAATAAAGACCTAGAATATAAGGATGAAAGTTTCGACTTCTCTGCAATTTATTTTTACTAAGATGAAACCCATATAATGCAAAAGTTAACCTTTTAAGCAGAAGGAAACTTGGTGGGTTTTTTCAGTACAGTATTGTGCAGTAAC